CGGCTGCCGGCAGTGCAGCCACACGAGCGCGAAGGGCTTCGGACGCCTCCCTTCCCTCCAAAGCCCCGCTGAGGCGGCGGCGGCGACTTCAGGGAACGAAAGCGTGGAGCGGGCGCGCCTTCGTCCCCCGCCCGCTGCCGAGCCCGGGCAGGGACCCGAAGGAAGGCGATGGCGTAAGACGACGCGTAAGTATCTTCGAGGGGGGCGGCGGGCCGTGCGCACCACCTCCTCCCCCCCCCCTCGTGGGGCGGCCGGCGGACTCGCCGCGGCTCCTCTTGCGTGCTTGGTCGCCAGCGTCCGAAACCGACGCCGGGGGACTGTGGGCTTATTAGCGTGACGGCAGGAAGGGGGCGGTTAATTGGCGGCCACAAAGCGATCGCCAGGAAGCGCTCGAAAGTCGTTTCAAACACAACCCGAAGCTTTCGTCGCTGCGCGGAGCGCGGGCGCAAACTTTTGCCCCGGTGTTGGGAAAGGACAGGGGCTCGCTCTCGATGTAAGTACGACTCAGCCGTTCTTTCCTTCTTTCTTTTTAACCTTGTGCTGCTCGGTTTAATAGAATGGACCCGCTTCTGGTGTGCGGTCGAGTGTCTAGAAACTACTTGCATGTTTGGCGGATCTGTCACCCGATTGTGTGTCTAGAATCACGGTCACGACTTCAGCGAAAGCAGTCATGATTCACTCCCCTCCCTCCCTTACAGTGGCTTCGTTCTATCCTCTCCACCCTCCAGTCCTCAATTTTTACATACCCATGTGTTTTGGGTTGTTTTTTTTAACTCCAGCACAAAACTTCTTTGGAAACGAAATCTTCAGATTAACATCTAGACCTCACTCTCTGGTCTTACTTTCTCTTCCAACAACCCGCTCCCCAGTCATTCCAAAGTCTGCTAGAGAAATGGATGAGAGGGGAGCGGACAGGGTCCGAAATACTTGAGACAAAAATATTCCCTTCGGGAGATTTGTCATCTTGTTGATGATTAAGCTGAACTACATACAAGCTTGGTTTCTGCCTTCCGCGTGTCCTTTCTCTTACCGGAACGAAGCGCCCGCCGGCACGTGAAGCAGGATGTAGTGGGGGGGGGAGTGGGAGTGGGTGTGGGTGTGGAGGGGTCTCCCCAATTTCTCTTCGGTTTGTTGTGTTGCGTTTAACTGTTGCGGAGTCCACCTTAGTACCCCAGTAGCATCCGGAGGTCTGGACGGTCAGTGCTTCGCTGCAGTGTCTTTAGTGTCAGACCCTGCAATTTGGGAAAACAATTTCCTGGTTCGCAACTTGGAGATTATAAAGCAGGTGATCTCTTACTTGAGATGCAGCCGAAAGTCTGGTAATATTAAACAGCAGCGTTAACAACAGCAACACACCCAGTGATATGCAAGGGTGCATTTTGATGGTTTTGCATGCATAGAGAGGTTGCAAGCGGAGGAAAAGGAGCTATTAAAGCTTCTTCCTTCTCTTAGTTGGGATGTGTAACAGTAACCCGAAGGGGGGGACAAAACTACGGTATTCCAATCCAACTTCTACACTGAGGATTGCTTTTGTTAGCATCTGTCAATGGGTCCATTTGAGCAAAGCTTAACTCCACATTTCAAGGCCTTGGAACCGTCAAAGCAATATGAAATGAGTGCATTTGAGCATGTCTAGAATCCCATGGTCTCATGGCAACAAGAATGCCATTTTCACAGTCTGACTTAGAGAAATAGCTTCCAGTCAGAGGGTGTGAATGTCAGGTTTCCTTGTGCCTAGTGTGGACATATGTTTTAGAGACATTAAGCAGGCTCACACAGTCTCTGCCCACTGATGATGTGTTAACCATGACCCTGTCTTTATGGCAGGGATGGGCAGCTGTGGCTCTCCAGATACTCACTGGACTGCAGGTTTCTGCAGCTCTGGTCAGGACAGCTCGCAGTGAAGGAGCATGGGAGCTGCAGTCTAGCAAAACGGGGGTGGCAAAGTTGTCAACCCCTGTTGTGCATGAAGAAGGCCATGGGAGCTGAACAAGGGAGTGCTCCTTTCCTGGATTCAGAGATTTTTACAGTGCAGGCCACATGTCAAAGCACCATAGAAAAGCATGTTTATCCAGCGGTAAAAGTCAGTGAGCCAGGCTGGCCCAAAACATTTTGCTGCTTGGAGAAATGGGCAGGATGGTGCTTCATCCCTATTTCATCTAAAAAAGCCAGCCAGAGTGATTGAATTTTCCTCCAATACCTGTGCCAGGATAGTGTTCTTTACTATGTTCTGAGAACAGTAGGCTAGTAATACGTAGATGCATAAGCAGATGACCTGGCACACAAATTTCTCCCCTCCAACACGTCACTGCTACTTTTAATATTCCTCAGTATCAGCACTTTGCAACAGCTGCCTAATCTTACCTAGTGATAGGGCTGGATCTGCCACTGAGTTCAGGGAAACTTTACTTAGTCCTTAGCAGATGTTCAGCGGCGCTGCATTAACAATGTAATATGCAAGCAGTTCTAGCTGTATGGTGAGGAGGTCATCAGTGCTCTTCACTGGTCATCACTGTGCTCCAATGGCCATGCAGAGAAGCAAGCATTACTTCATTCCTAGGATGGTTCAAAACCCGAGGAAGATAAGAGTGGATGTGGCAATGTCAGAAGTGAAAATAAATTTCTAGTATTTATTTATTTTTATTATATGCATCAGCATCCTTCTATTTCATCACACACACACACACACACACACACACATGCACGTGCATGCGCACGCAGTCACGCACGCGCGCACACACACACACACACACACACACACAAGCAATAAAACAGCAGACAAACCAGCAAACCATAAATTATGATGAAAATAATTCATTAAAGCCAAGGGGTGACTGACAATGTTAACCATCAAGAAAATGCTGAGTGTTTGTTGTGATTTTGTACTGTATTTGTCTCATGTTTCACTGGTAACATCTCAACTCAAGACTTGCCCCATGTTAGTACTTCTTGTGTCAGTGGCTCAAGACAAATGTGGATGCTGCTATGCTCAAAATATAGGGGTCCAGAGAGGGGCTATCCATTTTCACATTTTTAGCAAGCTTCTTGTTGTTCTATGTTGTCATGTCTCTACCAATTTATATTGATCCTAACAGGGTTTTCAAGGTATGTGAAATGTTCAAGGAGTCATTTACCATTGTCATCCCACAGTGAGTTTACATGGCCTAGTGAGGATTTGAACTCAGATCTCTTGAGTCCTAGTCTGATACTCTCTCTCCTACTCCACACTAACTCTCTCCATCCTGCTTAGTTATTGTTTTTAGAAAGTTGCAGATGGGTGTAAATTGCCTAAAATTGGAAGGTTAGATGAAATGTAATGGGTTCTATTAAGAGTCTCGACATTTTTTATTCCATAATTTCAGCAGTGAAATACTGATATATATCCTGAAAATCATTCCTCCATAGAAAAGAGGTGATGATTTTAAAGCAGTTATTCGGCTGCAAGTGTTTCTTTAAATCCATTCTAACAACTGAGCTAAATCCAATTTTGCACAGGCAGGTTTTGGCTGTGCAGTTGATATGATCTTTGCAAGGAAAACAAAGAACAGGCTGAATTCAGATACTGACTGAAATCCTGTTGCTTAGAATAATAGGTTACACTAGAGTGGCCCCATTGAATCAGTAGGGACTTTATGAGTCAACTCCTCCGTAAGTTCCACTGATTCAAATGAAACTCTGTACTCTAGCTGTGGCATACTATGCAAAGCAACAAAGCCTCTCTATCCATCTTTCTCCTGGATAAAGAATGGCAGGGCCTAGGGATGGAGTGGGGAACTACACTCCAGGGTACACTGGAGAAAGGACTTATGGGGACAGAGTTCATCACCTTCCTTCATCCCAAATACTATTTCTCCAAAGCTTGTCAGAAGTGTCTGCTACTTACTGAGATTCTTAAATTGCTGAGATATTTTAATGAGATCTTAATCATAGATCATCCACGTCATTTCTAGTTTGGCCCTGAGGCACACATATTGTTGTCAGAATAAAAGAAATACCAGGAAGGTGTGATAGAAAATGCTTAGTGGGTAATTACTTTAATGCTATTGCGTTTACGTATCATCACTGATTGGACTTGGACATTATCCACATACCTTTTGGAGGTGGAGTTACACAATGGCTGAAATCCTCTTGCTTAGTGCTGTAAATTGCACTAGAGTAGACTTATGAAATCAGTGGGGATTTGATAAATCAACTTCTCTATAAGTTCCATTGATTCAAATGGGCCTACTTTACTTATCACATACTTATCAAAATCCCCACTGATTCAATGCCCCTACATCTCTAGTGTAACTTACTATGCTAAGCTACAGGATTCCAGCCTCTGTCTCTGTCCTATCATTAACGATATTTCAGGAACCGAAGCCTAGGATCATTCCAAAATTTGATTTTGCTGTACTACAAGATATGAAATAACAATAAGGAGAATAATTCTTCCGGGCACGTGCAGAGTTGCTTTTCCTACCACCAAGCCCTATATCCCAGTTTGCACACATGTACATGCCTGGGATTAGGGGAGTTTGGACTTCCAAGTCAGTGTAGTTTCTATGCAGGGCTAAGCATCAGAGCAATGTCAGCTCACTGAAAGTTAGGAATAGTTAGTATATGGGCAGTTAGTTGCACAGAACAGCAAGAAACTCTAGCGTGTGGTTTTTCTTAGCTTCCACTATATGAAGTCCGACCAGGACCCACCCTACTATTAGGCAGAGTGAAGTGGCTGCCTCTGACAGCATTTTTGCAATTAAAAAAAAAGGAATAATATTGTTAGTTATTTACTTTGTTAGCATTGTTTTTATTGCCAGCAGTGGGAAGAGGTGCTTATGGGATTCTCTACTTCATGTATCAAACTAATTCGATATGCTATGGCAATTGTGTGCTTTGACTTGAGGGAAGCGGTGGGTGACACTATTTGTCACTATATGTTAGACAGAAAAATGTCTCAGGCTAGCCCTTGATCAGACAGACTATTGGTCTATGTACAAGTCTATGACTGGTAGACATAATCACTGGTACATGGTAACTAAGTTTATAGATTGCGTTTGCTGACAATTCTGCGATGTCATATAATATAAATCTAAATAGGAACTCTTTTAATCCTAGTTTAGAAATATAGCTCAAGAAATCAAACCTGCAACAAAATGTTCCAGCATGAAATGCTCCTGCCCAGCATTCCAGAGTATGTCTTTCCATTTCATTCTCCCATCTACCCACTGTTCTGTTTCTTTGTCGAGAATAGTCAGCAATATCCTGTGGCCACTGAACACATTCAGTTCTCATCAGACTGTTTTGAAGACTCCTCCCCATCAAGATTTCTTTCCTTAAATATTTTTTAAATACTTGTAAAAAAATCATGTGATTCTCCATCCCTCTTCTAGCCTGCTGATGCCTCCTTATATGTGAGGATACTGTTGTTTGAAATACACAAGGATCAGCACTTCCTTCTGATCTTGTAAAGCAGAGGCAATGTGGGGCGCTTTTTTTGTAGCCTTTGTTATTACCATGATAAATCTTCTTTTACTTTTGGAAGCAACTCATGCCTACATCAGTGGCTTTAATACTATTGAATTCCTTTTCAGAAGTGGTGGAGAAGGATTTGGTAAAAATGAAT